ATTACTAGCCGAAAAACGGGAAAGAAGTGACTTAACCAATCGTCTATATCTGCAGCTATCACACTATCATATCCATATACTTGAAATTGGATGGAAGATATTTTAAACGCAGCCTACGAGTCTGTCATCTTCCATAGAGAATGTAAACAATTTACAGAAAGTGTGCGTACAATAAAACGGGGTAAACCCTGTCGCTTTGATATTTAAGTCGATTTGATTAATCATTGATACCTAAAGTGTATAATATTGCTTGAATAATTAAAATTTATAGTCTTCTAGTTTCAGTAGGTATATAATATATATATGTTTTGGGAAGAATATAAGTAATATTTTACATTATTGTATTGCAAGTGAGATTTCCATTTTCGTGCGAAATAGAAATAGAATAGAATATGACGTGTGTCGGAATTCTCGTTTATCTCCCTTTTCAAGGGGTAGAAATTAAGGACAAAAATACCAGCCGGCGGCTCAAATAACCTTAGCTGTTAATAGGACATTCAATAAAATAACCTTACAGTCGGCTACAGGACACGATTCGCACATTACGTTCTCCGCGTGATATATGTTGAGATGTCGGACGATTCACATTCTCACAGATTGCAGGTACTCCGTTGCGTCTTGGAACGAGAGTCTTAAAAGATCGTTAAGAGATGTTTAGGCATTAGTAGGTTCTGTAGACAGACACATATAGAATGAAAGTTATCCAATATATGCCTGTAACCATATCTCCTTTTAAAGAGTTTCCATTTTAGACGACATTGTAAATATATTTTTGTTCAATGACAATGTAGTCGCCTTGACAACAGGGTCGGTTGTGATGTTGTCACGTTTGAATATTGATGAACGTGAGCCGATCAATTACTGCGGTCCGACCCTTACCTTGACACTGAAGCATTAGTTTAACTCTGCACCCAATCTTTGTCCTATCAGAAACCCATCGATTGACAGGTCTATTGCCGTTCGATTGTAGTTTCCCCCCAAAACTTCGTGTTCCCGTTTAACCTTTTGCTTCATACCATAATAATACTATCGTAATTACACCTCGGTGGATCGACATCAATTGTATCTTATAATTATAGGCCTTTCTTAGCTTTTCTTCCAAATTAATCATGTAATGTATTGCTAAATTCAGCCCTGTTTGATTATCAATTATGCGCAAATTAAAGATTTGCAGGGGTACTCATTTATTAATCTCCTCTCCGTTTACTAGCCGATGTGGAATCATTCCAGTACCTTCATGTAGTATAACATGCAATACAAAGAAATACAAAAATCAAGCTAAATGCTAAAGTATTTTTTATTAACTTTAATGTATTTTTCAGAATGTAAATTATAGTTAACAAAATGGAGGTGACTAATTCATTTAAATATACGTCAACAGTTTTATTAGTATACATACTAATGTGCTGATGTTTCAGTTTCCGCTTAAAGATTAAGAAATACGGCAACGTTAGATTATTTTGCGACATAAATGGTAAGTTATTGTATAAATATCGACAAAAACAACGATATAATTATTTGAAACGATGATATATTACTTCATATCTCAACTATTAGTATTGTTGGTATAATACTTTGACCTGGTTTGTGATCAGTGAACTATTATAGGTATATCAATGGTAAGGAACATACATTGAAATGATGTCAAACATTAGACATGAAGTAAGCAAACATACGTTTAAGTCAAGGTTCTAAAATTATTGATGACTTTGATATGATAAAAAATATATTCTTGCAATTGTAAATAATACGGAATACAAATATAATTGTTCAACTGAGTACGACATGTATATTGTCGTACATAAAACCACACTTTTTTTGTTTTGATAATGATTAAAAAGGCCATTTTTTGTGATAAAAAAGAGAGCGTAAAGCACATAATATTTTTTTTTTTAATATCCAGCCATCGCAATTATCACAACTATCTCATTTTTGTAACTAAGTATAGCCCCCAAAAAGGTAACATAGCAGAACTCTGTCTTTATCCGACTTATTAGTTACTGCTACGATTATAATTCGTATTGGTTTACGTCACACTTAACACACATGCTATCCACATTTAATTGAAGTACACGGAACAATAGCCATAACATTGTAAATTTTACCTAAGGTCGGTGTAAGAACAATCAAATGTCATTGCTATAGGAAAATGTTATCATATTAATTGGCAAGTCTCATTAGCAATGACTAAATTTGGTGGAATTGTATTTAATACAAACCAACGGATATGCTTTATGTATATAAAACATCACTCATCATACCTGATTTAATGTTCAATTATCTTCCCAGAACATGAACCAAATATCCATGCCAAATAAATTGACGTCGAAGATGTTGAGACGTGACATTACCATAATGTGTAATGGCTCTAAAATGTGCGGGCCTGGTTCTTGTTTCAAATCGTCAATTTGATCAGTGGATTACAGATTAACTGACTTAATGACGTATGCATACACCCAACCATTCAAAAGCGGTCACACTATTTACGTATATTTTACGGAGTGAAAAGAAGCCAAGATGGCCTGTATTGCTAACCTGGATATTTACGCAAAAACGTTAAATATTATAACAAAAGTAGTATGACAAATACTACCTTAGAGATAGAGCCATTCCATTGGTAAATCCTACCAGCATCTATTTGTATAATTTCGAATCCCAGCCATTCAACAATGCTTCTCGCCAAATATGGCTGATTTTTATCTCACATTGTCAAAGAAGAAATCGCGCATACCGATATGGCCTAATTTCACCTTTGACAAATCTGACAATTTGTTAAAAGGTGTTTTTTATTATATCCACCATCCTCCCCCTCTTTACTCCCTCCACCACAAACGAAGGGAATACACAAAAAGACGATCTATGAATTGGCTTCTTTAAGGATTTTTTTTCCACGTAAGAAAAAGGTACTCATAGGTTTAGGGATATAAATTTATATCAATATATCTTCTAACTTCTAGTATCCTACAACATAGCGATGCTACAAGTAAATTAACTCGAAAGGCGTCCTTATTAAGCAAGCTTGCTTGTGTATGTACCTGAACCACTTTGACAACACAACTTATACGTACAATAAGCTGACACATATAAAGTGTTCTAATTACAATGTGATTTTGTATTCGGCTGAAACATTCCTTTTTATTTTTAATGGTTTTTTTGTTTGTTTTTTGTTTGTATACACAAAATGAAACATTTCACAAAACATTTCATATTTTATCAATAACACTAAGTTAATGCATGAAGTAATTGAGTTTCATGAACAAGTTTAGCACTTGTTTTTACTACTAAACGTAAATTTACCAATTATAAGGAGAGTAAGTGAGTATGATTGCCATAATAAAGGTATGTATTAGGTTATACAATTGACTAAAGGGTCTGTAGTATTAAGAGCCAGGAGCCTTAACATTACATGTCTAAAGTCTTCATTAGCTGACACATTTAAAACTTTTTCTTACAAAAGTTCATTTATTCTTCAAAAGTATTTTATGTAAGCCACGACAGACTTGGTCCAGCTACAAAGTACTAGTAACGCCCTACCCCAAGGAGTGTTAGTCTACAATCAGAACATACAACTCTGGTTTTATACATAGAATATGTTTTTAATATAAACAAGCAACAGTGATAAGAATAAAATCATATAAGGAATATTATAGTCAGTAAATACTCAGTATGTCTCTACCTGCGTGAGAGTATAACTACTCATTTATCAAAAAGTGAAACCTTCAAAGATCACGTCGTTATGTCCCGAGCTCACGGGATACTGATTACATTTGAAATTCCTCTCGTTATTCTGTTAGTTGTCTGAAGTGAATATTATATCCCAGAAGACCCGTACACACAGAAATGCCGATGTCCCAGTGTTCAGACCCACTGTCGAATTAAGCATTATGCTGAAACTTCATTTTATTACTAGACGCAACCTATGTGTCTCAATTTCCTACGTAAACAGACTGTTTGGTATTAGTTTGTGTAGGTGACACTCTGTATTGACCATTTCTTAATTGTTTTATTGATACCACAAGCATTCTACGTTTGATAGTTGTTTTGCCAAGGAAAATAATTTACATCCATCACAGTATTAAGTGAAGTTTCCTCGAGTTGTTTGTTCATTGTCATCACGTATCTTCGCGTACTGAAAAAAATCTAGTTTCCGTAATCAGCAGAACTCCCAGCAACGGCTGTATTGACGTATGCTCCCTTGTTACCTGTGAACAAAAGTAATAGGATTTCTTTTTGAATATTTTTAACCAACTAATCTGTGAGTTGAACGTGGTATCAATAAAAAACCTCAAGCTAAATATGCTTTTTCTTTCTCATTAAGGAAATAGTCAAATGCCACAATTGCCCATTTAAATAGTAAAATTTAAATAAATAAAATGTTCAAAACAATGCTCAATAATCAAAGATACAGGAGATCAAAATGTTGAAAACTACTACAGTGTATATGTACATGAACAAACCAATGAACAAATTGATTAACTAAAGTAATATCAACAAATTAAAACATGCACTTTTATAATACCACATACATTCTTTGTGTTGAAGGTATGTCGGAAGATGAAACTGTTTTTGTCAATTTCTAATTACATTTGCTCATATAATAACTTATATGCATGTGGGATTCATCATTCCTGATTTAAAAGCATCTTGAAGGGAGTTAAGATTTCAGGGATTAAGTTGCATCAAAGCGTTTTTGTAAATTAATAATTACGAACTCAATGGAATGGTTTGTGTTTGGATTAGTTATGACTTTACTTTATTATGTAAAGTTTGGTTATGATACCGATCAACTGTCATTTATGACGAGTTTAGACAACAACTTACCAGACGTTACACCGTGGGGCTCATCATATATGTTTGGATTCGACCGACCCTCCAAAGACTCGTAATCTCTGTTAATACAAAAACATATACTGTGTCGGTCACATGTTGGAGATCGTATACCATAACTACAGAAATGTGTATAAACCATGGCAGTATATAGAATTGCTGATAACAAATACTCACTTGGCAATGACTGTTTCTTTCTGGTGACCTACAAATACAGACAACCAAACATAATTGTGTTAGCCTGGGTAACATTAAAATGCATATAAATATATCAACTTGATGACACTGGTTTATCTCACATTGGGAAGTTATTACTCTTACTCATCCAAGCAGTTTTTATTCCTGCATTCAAATCAGCATGCATTTTGTTTAAATGTAGATGAAGAGGCGTTAAAAAAAAATGTTTACCCGTTTGCTATCGGACAATCTAGATAAAAAACAATTCAATAACGTTTTTTTTAATAAATTCTTTCACCCAAATACAAAGTATATGAGTGAGACATTTAAATATCTATGCTGCACGAAATTTATCATCGCGATCTAATTTTGATCTGGAAAACCGGGTTTCCGCCAACATCAAGATCAAACTAGCGCATCCGGACAAAAAGAGATATACATTGTCAAAACTGCTTTCCTGATTGACAAATAAAGTTTATATATATGTGTATACTGTGTAAGGACAATTGACATGCATCAGTCTCAGTGTGTGCTTTACCTTCAGGATGACTTCCGATTTCAGAGTATATGGACGGTTTGGCAATTGCATTCATATCGAGTTGTTCATACGACGATCTATGTAGAAATAAGTAGCACAAAATAAGAAAAAAAATCAATATTTGATTTAAAGCATTAAATGATTGTTGATTTGTGTAGTAAGCATAACGCCACAATGTTGTATTTTAAGATAGAAAAAATATATAATTACCGCTCTTCCTCTTCAGGAGGTGCCACGTCTGTAAGATAAACGGATAGATATGTATTTAAACAAACAAAATGTTCAATTCAATACAAACAAAAGATTTACCTGTACGTTATATAAAACATATTTTTCATTGCTAAAACTCATCTACATGTTCTATAAATTGAAACAAAAAATATTGCTCATTGATACCTTGGACCAAACGAGTAAAAGATTATAATGCATTCTTTGCTGAAATTACCTTGTTCTGAAAGTTGCTCCTTCTGAAATTCTCTGTGTTTCAGATGCTGTCTTTTGCTGAGAAACAATATATAAAGACCATTATATGTTTACTGATACATCATCATACTATATGATCGTATTGTGGGAGAATTGTTTGTGAAATAACATGCTATTTTCTATTAATCATAATGTCAAAACAGAACAATTCTGACAAGATGTGGTATTATAAGTATACACTGTTCATAAAAAAATTGAAAGAAGTTATGATAAAACGAATAAGATGTCGACAAAGTTTATCTCAAAATGCATTTACTTACATGAATGGTAGTCTACCATACCCTGTACAATTATAAAGGGATAAGTTATTATAGCGAGTTCTGTAATGTGAAGAAATAAACACACTTTCTATTTTTTTTATGAAATACTTCAGTTGTCTAGGAGACGTTCTTTGCATCATTTAGAAAAACAAATACTGTATTTGTATATAAGAACAATTTATAAGTATGAAATAGGAATATCTTAGATCCTTATTTGAAGATTATTCAGTAAATATGGCATTTTTTTTTTTCAATAAATAGTTAGATAATTAATACGTACGACTTATAAATATTCCGAGTCCTACTGTCAGCAGGAGAGTGAACACACCAGTACACGTTAGGGAAACTCCTGTTACGTACATGTTGTCGGTAGCACTGGATAGTTCTTTTAAAAAAAAGCACATACATCAGTCTGTATCACCCGAAACGTTGTGTTGTACATTTCTTTATTGGATATTGAATATGAAATCAACTGCAACATTTTAACTCCGTTGGATTAGGAAGCAGGGATGTTGCCATCAAGAAAGGTAGCATATGTGATCGGGAAATAATATAGAGGTAAAATGCTAAAATGCTCAAAATCCCAATATCTTAACTTTCCTAAGCGTTTTAATATATGTTTTCTCTTCCACATATTTCTTTTGTAGATGGTATGCAATTTCAATAGAAATTTTGAACATATTAGCAATACGTGATACGCAAGGTAAATAACGAACCTTCCCGAACTGTACATCCAACGGCTTCGATCGATGTTGTATTTCCATGTTCGTTGTATGCTGCAATTTTAAAGGAATACAGTCGTTCTCCCTCCAAATTGTCTACATACAGACTATAGATGTTACTTCTTTCAACTTCATATGGAATCGTCAAGGGGTAAACCTGCTTTGAGTTCAGAAATCCATTACTGCTGAATAAAACACGGTAAAACTTGGAGTTTCCGCCGTCCTTCCACGATACTTCGGCAGTCTTAGGCTGTCTACAGTCAACTGACAAAATTATTGGGAAGCTTGGATCTCCTGTTGTATAGATATAAACGGTATGCCTAAAGCTCATTTGAGGTGTAAAACACATATACGATAATAAAGCATGATGTGGTTGATTACAAGGTGTAAAAGCGTCCAAATATAATCATTAAAGTAATTTTCTTTTGTGTAAGCTCTGGTCAATGTACTTTTTTATAGTAATGCATCGATTTTAATTATATATGAAACATTTGTATTTAATGTATTTAACTTTATTTGTATTGTATTCAGATACAAATGTAAAATGTAAAGGCAGTTTCTTCTGATAAAAAGTACCCTTCTGAAGAAACAACATATCTGATACAGCGTAACAGTGTGATATTATAGTTCGTGCTATTGAGTGTATGCATGACTCCAATGCTTTGCTACTTAAACTTCAGAAAACTATCAACATACACATCTTTAAAATTATGATCTTATTAGAACAGTTTTAAGTTTTGAAACAAACTGAAATTTCTCTTCAATTGATGGCTCTTGCCTAGACAAGGAACAAGAGGCCATAGAAGGACCTTGGTGCCCACCATGAACGGATCTTTGTCGGATCTACAGAAGATGATCTTTTACACTATTTGCTCTTCATTTTCCTTATATGTACTATTACCCAGTGTATGTTGGAATTTCTAAACAGGAACCTTGTTTTAACTTAAATCACTGTCATGTCATGTTATTCGCCACTGTGCAAAACGTTATTGTACAAGATTTGCGTAACTATATGCAAAATGCTTAAGATGTGTAATTGGGAATGCTGTCAATCACGGATGATTTATCATTAGTGCAAGGATACATTTAACAAAGGAACCAAGAGAAACATGCATATATAAAAGTGATAAAAAATTGAATAGTCAAAATACAATATGGCTGCCTGGTTGCCATCTGGGTTATCTGATTCGTCCCAAAATTTAGTTTGCGTAAGTACAGACTATGAAAAATCCTCGTGTGAAAATCGTGAACCCTCATGTAAACTTTGAAAATAAATTCCCTCAAGAACTGTCTGAGAAATAGCGGTAACAAACGTTCTCACTGAAAAGACAAGATGGCCACCATTCTGCCATCTCAGTTTTACCCATCAGCCCAAACGTCGATATGCATATTTAAAGATCATGGGGAACATTCATGTGCAATTTGAGAAAGATCCCTCTAGTTCTTTCTGGGTAAAAAAATTCTTACAAACTTTAACTCTTTAATTTCAAAATGGCCGCCTGTCGGTATTTTTCGTTTTCCCAACTATTGGGGACAAGATCAACCAAAATAAATCTGCTGCACCCATTTCAATATTTGAGATCTTTGTCCATGTATTTCCTTTCTACTTCTAACTACTTTTTTCTTTTTTAGCGCCTTGCTTGGCTTACTGAACGTTTGCCAAGATGAGTAAGGCCATGGGTTCTGCCCCAGGCCGGGACATACCAAAGTCGTTAAAATGGTAGTTATTATTACATGTACCTGCTTGACATTCAGCATTTAGGGAAATGACAACAACTGGTTCTTCCGTTTTCAGTATAATATGATCTGGTGAAATGAAGTGCTGAGTGCCTATAATAACTACGGTCGATACTCAAGTTGCGCACGAACTGTATAGCTGACCATTGCACTTCCCTGGCTGTTTGTTGCTGTGACATTATACAATCCAAACCAGTTATCTTGTATATTCGTACGTGTTCCCTCTGACACAGCAGATAGATTAATCATCTGGAAGCTATTTTAAATAGCAAAGTTGTCCGCCCCATTTACAAGTTCTGTGGCACATGTCAATGGGGTGAGTTGAAAAGTCCATGTGAACACTGGTTCTGGATTTGAGATGAACATGGCAAGAATAGTTAGGGTTTCTAACAAAGCAAATTCAAACGTTTGATAATCTTTCGGAATCTGGTACGGACGTGGCTTACCTGGAATGAGAAAACAAATATCGATCATAATTTATTTGTCTGCAATTCTGAAATGGTGAAAAGAGAAATCATGTTAGTGGCCACTATACGTTAAAAGTACCAAAAAGCCACAGAGATGGAATTGAACTCCATCGAATTCATATAAAATTAACTCCGGGGAGATGCTTTTATTCTCATTAAAAGGTCTAAAACAATAACCAAAATAGTGGGCTAGTTTGCGCTACATTGAAAGGACATTTTGTTTAGCAGTAAACATGTCCACGTTATTACAACTCTGGGGAGGTAAGCTATTTTCTTTCTTCAATTAACTATTCTGTGCTGTTCGGTATGTCTGACTCGAATTGATGTTGATTGCAATCAATCGAAATAGAACAAAAAATCGCTAATAACGTAATAAAGTGTGTGAAAACAACTTGTTTGTCTAGGAACAAACCCATTATTAATGGTGCTTTTACATTGTACTAATGCAGAATTAATATTGTTTCATCATTGAAACTACTGTGTTGTTATTTACATTTACTTAACATATAATGTTCATGTTCCAGCAATGATATAAATACAGTTGTACTTGATAACAGAAGTTGTTAAACTATAAAAATGCTCATGGAACACCCAACAAGCGGATGCTTACCGACTAAATATTGCCTGTTGAATTCAGAAATGACTTGACTAATGTCGCTAAACAAACACTTCATTTAGGGATATTGACCGATATCTTTAGTAGATTGAAAAACAATAGCATTACCACCTTTTCCTTCGATTTGCCCGTGACCGTGCAATATCTGATACTCTCTTTCCATGACAAACTAAATGACTAGAACGTGTAGAACGGGAATTATGACATTATACAATGTCACTATTTATTACTCTTTCAAGAAGCCTACATCTCGGGCTGAAGCTTGATTTAACGAATTGTGCTCTATTAACTACTTAGAACAAGAAGTCTTTTACAGAAACAATAACATCCCATTGAATATATTCCTTTCTGCTTTATTACATAGATAGAGGTTTAGATTCCTTACACAAATGTATGAGTTCGCAGACTCTTGAAAGAGTGGTCGCTATGATATTGATATGGTATATATCGTACTGTTAATATGATCTATGTAAACACTATTGAAACAATAGATAACTAAAAACAAGACAATACAATGAAACAAACGAATAAATTCCAATTGGAAGCACATAGTCACTTAGTGGGACTAACTTACACAAAACGTTGATTTATGTGTCCCTGGTAACCGCTGTGTTAGAGACACTGTTCCTAGCAGAACATGTACACAGTCCTGTGTCCACACAGCCAGCAGTAGTCAGGGTGTAGGTATTCTCCAGTACATCCGTGGTGGCGAGAAGAAGGCTATTATTGGCTTTATAGTACCAATGAATTGTAGACGGAGGGTAACTCTCTACCCTGCATATTAGTGATTTAGGTCCGTTCTCAGTGACATTACCGTCTCCTTGTGTGTAGCTAAGACTGGGTAATCTGGGAGGAACTGAAATGAGTCATAGTTATACACATATGTTGTACAAAATTGGTGGAATAAAAAAAACTTACAGTTGTTGGCTCGCACAACATCACATGATGTGCGGACCATGCACGAACGATACAAATCTGGATTATTTTTTCTTGTATACATCATGTTGCCAAGGACACGTACGTAACTCGCCGAGTTGTGGAAATCAAAGTAAATGGAAGTCATGCACAGGTCAGGCAAAACTCTCTTATCAAAATGGTATATACACATGTTCTGTTTCCTGGGAGTTAGGTACCCTTCCTGACCACAATTGGTTATTCCATGAGAAATGGTATAGGAAATAAGCTTTTGACATACGTTTTCGATGTCAGCGATATGCTGTCAAAGCATATACATGTATCACAGTTGACCTATTTTTCATCAATTGCACTCCAACGTCCTAAAATATACATACATGCTAAATTAATCCAGACAGGGTATGCAAGTGCTGCATGAGAGGGTATCTTGATTTAATAAACCCTGGTAAAAACGTATCAGAAATTGGCCGCCGACACACGTTTTCAAAGATTAAGATCAAAAGGTCAAACCATGAGTCCACTACGACATATTTCTCAAAACATTTCATTCTGCCACCTCAGGAAGCACTTGTTGTCGTTAGCGTATTCTGCTTATTTGGAAGATCTTTAATATGTTTAGCAAAACTGAATTAAAAAAAATATATAAATCGATGTAAGGTAATAAGCTACATTCAGTATCTCGGTGTCAGACAGAGTTTGTAGAATATATTTATGTAAGAACATGTATGTGTACACCTTTCTAATATATACGGTAATATTCTGGCCCAAGACTGCAGACAAGAAAGCCTGGAAAGATCTAAATAAAGACATTCATGGAATACTTGAGACATACCAGAGTATGTAAAAATGGTAGTTTATCCACCTACTTAACGCTCAGCAATTTAGGAGTAGGACGACTGTTTCGCCCGTTGTCAGTATAATGTGACCGGGTAGGGTGTTGTGCTGGGTGTCTTTGGCAGTATGTTTCAGTGAAGTAGCACTATAAAGTCGGCATCAGTTCCGCTCTATCACAAGGAAACAAACATGAACATATCGCAGTCGCCCAAAACACACGAGCATACACAACACGCATCTGATCATTCGTCCCTCTTCTGTTTCTAAAACCACTTTATTATATCGTTGGCCTCAAGAAACCAAACTAGTCTTGTGTTTATCATTCGTTCTTAAGGTTAACATACACAACTAGTCAGAGAAATAGGACGATACTTGTTTGGGTCAGTAGCGTCCGTTCACGGTTTGTACAAAGGTTGACAACATTAGCACTGGTACATAAGGTGACAACAGTAATACTGGTACATAGGGTGACAACAGTAATATTAGAACATAGGGTGACAACAGTAATAGTAATACGCAGGATGACGACAGTACTATATGTGCAAAGGGTGACAAATGAAGTACAAGTACATAGTGATAATGTTTTATAGGGGGACAACAGTAATACTGGTACAAAGGGTGACAACAGTCATACCAGTATGTAGGGTGACAAGCAGTTAGACTAGTGAATAAAAGAAAACAAATGTAAAACCTCACCGACACTACATAAGTAGTAACTGGATAGGGCAAATCAAAAGCAACGACTCTGCAGACGGTTAAATGTTTCAGTGCACATGACAAATGCACAATTTACCCCAACGACAGGACTAAACAAAATATTTGAGTTGATGTGAATAGTACGTCTTGCAGTATTTTGAATTTTTGGGGAACTTAAAAGCAACTGGAAACGCATGATCACTAACAATAACAACATATGTAAAATAAGCGACCGTTACTGCAGAACACAGCCAACAGGAACGTTTGAAATGTATTCCTAAGTTTCTGAACTCTATTTTTCTGAAGCGGATACTAGCGATAACTTTCTTAGAAGGGAATTATTGTTTTGAAGAAGATGTATAATTCAATACCGCCTTAATTCGATTAGCTGTTGTGGTCCTGTTTTTACCAATCCGAATTGCCGATCGCCTGAAACCAGGTATCTCAATGTGGTATGAGCGTTCATTTAGAGGTCGGAGATTCCGGGTTGGAACCCCATCTTGCTCTGCATTATATGCTGTTCAAGTGTGTATGTGTGCCAAAAGCATGGCATGCTCATTAATTTACCTACTGGTGATAGCACTGATCTGATGCTGACTTTAGAGTTTAACCTCACTAAAATACCATGCTAAAGGCTTTAAGCATAATATTTTATTCGGTCACATTATACTTGTGTTACATACGGTACATATGTCTTATCTAACTGTAAACCACTGTCGCGAACGATAATGAAGAACAAACGTCTTCTTTAGGGTTATCGAAGTTTTATTCAGTACAGGAAAAGAAAAAAAAAGTGACAAATACAATACACTGATGTTATACTGAACATTTATTCACAGTTACATAACAAGAAAGACGACACTTTTTCAAGGAAAGTGGCCTCAGACTAGCGCTTACATGAATCTCAGATATGTTAGAAATATAACCAGGATGTCAACACGTTTAGCAATATTATGAAAGTAATTAGCATTAAGGAAAAATTATCAGGACTACACAGGAGAACCTACTTGTGTTCAAATACCTACCCTATCGCTTGGACACGGGTCTAGAGTAAGTGTAGCGCAGAAAGCTCCGGTAAACAATTTGTGTTTGTTTTCTTGTTTGTGTTTTACGTCCTATTGACATCTATGGTCATTTAAGGACGGACGTACAAGGTTTTGGTGGTGGCGGAAAGCCGGAAGTCCTGGAGAAAAAACATCGACCTGCGGCCAGAATCGGGCAACTATCCTACTTAGGTCGCGAACCCGCGACGTAGGGGTGAAGGGCTAAAGGTAACAGAATGTCAGACGCCTTAACCACTTGACCACCACGGCCCTTCCGGTCAACAAAGGATGTGACAGTATATAAGACCAACAGTTACAACAAAAAAAAGTATATTTTTCATTGCTGACATTTCAGAAGATAGCATTAGATGAACATATCGCATTTTACTCTAAAAATAGTATATCACGACCATATCACGTTGAATAAAAGTAAAATTGTTTAAACACCCAGTTGAACTAATAATTACAACGTATTTGTTATTTATATTATGCATAACTTAAAGCTAACCTGCCTCCCAGTTCAATACCGGTCTCGTCATCAATGTCAAGTTAAATATCTGCAGAAATCACATAGGCATTACGAACCAAAAAAGCGGATGCAAATCAAATGACAAAAAAAAATGAAAATTATGAAGTCAGCAAATGCATTGACTTAGGATTTGGCCATGCTTCCAGCACACGGCAG